GCATCAAGGACACCATTGATCCTGACCAAATCTCCAACTCCATTTGCAGAAATGCAGCCCCAAACTTGCAAGGAACCTCCACCATGCTTCACTGTTGCCTGAAGACAATCATTGTACCTTTCTCCAGCCCTTTGGTGAACAAACTGCCTCCTGCTACAACCAAATATTTTGATTCATCAGTCCAGAGCACCTGCTTCCATTTTTCTGTACCCCAGTTCTTATGTTTTTGTGCATAGTTGAGTCGCTTAACTTTGTTTTCAAGTTGAAGGTATGGCTTTTTGGCTACAATTCTTCCATAAGGACCACTTCTGGCCAGATGTCTCCAGATAGTAGATAGATGTACCTAGATTCTACTGGTTTCTGCCAGTTCTGTGCTGATGGCATTGCTAGACATCTTCTGATGTTAAAGGGAAGTAAGCATGATGTGTCTTTCATCGTCTGCATCAAGTTGCCTTGGTAAACCACTGTGTCTAAAGTCCTCAACATTGCCCATTTCTTTGTGCTTCTTCTTGAACTTCCAGTTTTCTTTGAATCTTTGCCTGGCAGAGACCGTACTGATGCAGTATAACTACCTTGTGTCTAATGCTTTACTGAAGGATGTTGTTGAACATCCAGACTTGCTTTTAGAATCAAGAAGATTCATTTCATGGTTATTTGTCTACTTGGTACAGCCTTTGTCACTAGCTATTCAGTATAATTATTTGATAAGATCGGGGTGTGTTGGTCTGTGTTTCCTTATCAGTTGTCTTGGATTCTGAGCTATGTTGTGGCTCACAAACTATATCAAGACTTTACATTAGCTTTAGGAACTAGTGTGCAATAACATTAAAATATATGTTGATGTTGGCTCTGCTGTGTGGGTGCTGGGGACCAGTCAGTGTTGCAGTGAAAACCTCAGGCAGGGTTCCGATATTAATTTATTTATTTCAGGTACTTATATAACGCTGTCAATTTACGTAGCGCTTTACATATATATTGTACATTTACATCAGTCCCTAACCCTCAAGGGGCGTACAATCTAAGGTCCCTAACTCACATTCATATACAAGGGCCAACTTAGACAGGATCCAATTAACCTACCAGCATGTCTTTGGAGTGTGGGAGGAAACCGGAGTACCTGGAGGAAAAACACGCAGGCACAGGGAGAACATGCAAACTCCAGGCAGGAGGTGCCGTGGCTGGGATTTGAACCAATGACCCTAGTACTGCCAGGCGGAAGTGCTAACCATTTAGCCAGTGTGCTGCCCATGTGAGAGAATGCCCATGTGAGAGAAGGCCCATGTTCTCTCTTGCCACATTCGTTCCTGGTAGCCAAATTCTTCAGCAGTGAAACAGAATCTCATTATACTGCATGGAAAAGGACTGAAGCTCTCAAGCCCTATAACAAGATCAGGGCTGAGAATCTTTAGTGTTGTCAGCAGCTGATCAGGACTGATCACTCAAATCTGAGCTCTGGTATGCGTTTACCGGAACCTCTGGCAGAATGCCAAACAGCATAAGCTTTACGCACTTTCAATATATACAGGATATGATATGGCAAATTTCACCCTAAGCATCCAGTGTGATTAAGATCAGATTCCACGCAGAACTAAGGTGCTCAGACTCCATTTCACACATAAAATATCATATAGAAATTACTTAACTGCACATACAAACTTACACATCAAGAGCAGGTAATAAATAAAAATCACAGCTCTGCAAGCCAACAGCTAATCTCCACACCTGCTCCAACAAAGCTGCCCAGACTACTTGATATGTATAGAAGGAGTACTTTACATGGTGTAGTATCTGATTACAAAGAATGGCCTCTTCTAGCTCCAGCCTGGGTCTTGGATGCGTTCCATTTGGAAGCAGGCACAAGGCAATCCAAGTAGACACTATAAACAGTAAGCAGTCCAGACAACTTTAAACCGTGCCAAGAACTCTGTACTTTCCCTGTGAAACCGGCTTGGAGTGCTGCCAGCTACTCGCATCTCTTGTTAAACAAAGCTGATCATAGCACTGGTTGTTATGGATACAAAAGTCACAAAATTAATTGCATGTATAACTTTGAACACCTTGGTGTGCTAGTGGGTAAGAAAGGGTAATTAAATTACATTTGTAAGAAGCAGCTGAAGAATCGGCAGGGATGCAGAAAAATCTTACATCATGATACCAAGATTTCAGCATTTACATTTGTACCTATATATCAGCTTGTGATCTACAATTTATGCTATATCTCATTTCATAAGCAATGCATTGTACAAGCCTAAGGGTAATGTTCACTGCCAATGTGCACGGTGTATAAACCAACGAAGGTTTAAATTCACAGGAACCTGCTCTTATACCCAGTGTCAAATTGATGACTTCTATACTTAGTATTACAGACCACAATGTCTTACACTTATATTGTATACCTGATAACCTACCTAAATCCTATACTCACAGCTTTAAAATTAAAAAAAATAAAAAACAAGTGAAAAGACATTCAGGGGAATTCTTCTAGAATGTCTAAGACACTCTTTAGAACTCTGACATGCCTCCGCACAACAAATGTTGGTGCACATGACACATTCATTTAGCTGCTGTAAACAGGACCATGAATCTGAGGCATGCACTACATGAGGAGGCACAAAGTCTACAGTGTCCATGCAGACACACCATTCACAGTGCAGCTAAGGTTCCTGCAGTTGTCACACAGACAGTGCAGCAGCTGAGGAAAAGCTGGTAAAGCTGGGTGGGTGGAGCCTGATGGGCATACACAGGCAATAGTTACCCATCAGGACCCTCTCCCATTGTGGTTGACAGCAGGCAGTGGGTAGATTCATAGCCAACAGAGAGCCTGCTAATGGCTACAGAATCTGCTCATTGCCTGGTGTCAATTACAAGGACAGAGTGGGCCTGATGGGGAACTAGTGCCTCAGCGTCTCCATCAGACTGCTCCCACTGTCAGCATCACTGGTTGCTAGGAAACTGTCAACTGTGAAGTCAACAGCATACTTAACAACCAGTGACAGGTGAGGAGAGGAAGAGATAGTGGTGGTAAATATGCTGATTGCTGCACAGTGTACAGAGACAGACACTCTGCCTTTCTATGTAAGCCAACTTAGAGTTGATCTTTATTACCTCCAGTTTCATTATCTACAAAGTGAAGGTAATTATTTTTTAATTTGTTGCAGTAATAGCAGCACTTTCTAAAAGTGTCACTATTCAGAATGACCTCAATCTACCACGCTTGTCAGTAGAACTACCGAAATGGGCAGCAGGGATTTTTGAATCTGGCATAGGCCATTTTTAAACAGCCATACTGCCAGAAAACGTTTGCTAGGTTTGTATTGAATTCCCCTGATTGCCTATTACTAAGTCCCTGCACCTCTGTAAAGCTTAAAGCTTGAGTGCAGCCAATATGAAAACCACAGAGGGTCATAACTGTCAGTAGGATGTCTCATTTGGGCTGATGCCTCCTGCCCCCGCAATCTTCGAGTGTGGCACAGGATAACAGAATGGCTGAGAGGCTGTCACAGGCTCTAATCAAGAGTGTTCTACTATGCCTGCCCTTTTGACCTACCTCCTCCATTCATAGAAGCAGTACCTCAGCTTCTATGAATAAAGTGTTCTATGAATGGAGAGTGTGGAACAGCCATCATTCATGGATCTTGTTTCATACACAGAATCTATAATATAGCTTCTATGCATGGAGAAGCTGGGAGAAAAAAAAAAAAGGCATAGTCGGGCACTCTTGATGAGAACCTGTGACAGTGCCCGGAGTTCTATTAACCCCCACTGCACTAGAGCATCATGGTGGTGGTGGGGGTGTACATCAATGGAGGAGAAATTCACCTAACATAAGAAGCATCAGCACAATGGACACATCCTACTGGCTGTAAGTTATGTCCCTTGTGCTGATTTTTTTTGGTTTTGGCTGCACTTAGGCTTGAAATTTTACTGTTTAAAACCCCACTGACAAATTCATACCTGGAAACAAGCTCGGAGCCAGCAGACAGAATAGCACTAGACAGAAAAGCACATCAGAACTCCTGAAGTAATGCCCCCACCCCCAAAGTCTTTCCCTATAACACCAACCCTAACACACTCACACTAATGCAGCCTGTAATGCTGATGCTAGTTTTCTTTGTAACCCTAACACTCACATTAACACTCCATGTAGCCCTCACATTAAAGCTGGATATACGTTGAGCAAATTTCAGCCAATTCCTGACAAACCAGCAAAAAATTTGCTCAGTGAGTGGCACTATCGGCTGCCAACCACCCGGCATTCCTCAGTGTGAAAAAAAGGGAGCAAAATAGAAAACTCTTGGTAGAACTAGGACTGCACTGAATCAGATGCAGGCGCTGTTTTGGTATTTTGACAGCCAGAGGGGCAGCTGTCAAAATACAATAGTCGTGACAGGAGATTCATCCATCTGCGCTGTGTAGTGTGGATGCAGGTAACTGTTAGTCTGCAGACTAAAAGGAAAAAAATCTATATTGGTATGGCCAACATAACACTCCCTGTAACCCTAATGCTAAACCTCCCTAACAGGCTAACACTAAACCATTCAGTAATCCAAACTCTTACACTAACAATCCTTTATGTAAAAACTTAAAAGCACAACACAACCAAAGTAACTAAAATAGACATGCAGTTGTATAGATTAACAAAGATAGATAGATAGATAGATATTTCTAGTCTTATCTTAATTTTTCTGTTACAACAACTGTGCGGAGAGAGTCTAAATATGACTGTGAAGTTCAATACTGAAGAAAAACAAGTTAAATACCATGCACTCTGTAATGTACCAGACCTGATCAAGGGTATCTCTTACCTTTTCTGCAACACAAGCCTGTCTGAGGACACTTACTTAGCTCTGCTTGCATAAAGCACTACAGTGTGAGGGAAGGTTGTTGAAAGTATTTCCTAGCTAAATCATTTACACTTCAAATGGGGGCTTCTGACAAAGCACATATCAGCAAACATCACCCTATAAAACACATGTATGATGCAGTAGAAACCTGATTACCTGTTTTTAAATTGCTGGTTGTCAACCTTTGAGAGGTTTAAGGGATTGTGTGCTGTGCATGATGAGTTTGACAAGGGAGTGCCATCATATCCCAGAATCTGCTGCAAGAAGTGAATTTTACCTGTAAAAAAAAATAATAATTTAAAGTTTTTTGGCCTATTAAATAAGAATTTCTGAATAAAAAAGCATGACCATTCAGTACGAGAAGCTGAGAAAATTACTAAATATAACCATAAACAGATACAGCCTTATGCATTTTTGGTAAATATGAAAAATATAAATGTTCAGTGCATGAGCTGAACTACATTACAGCACAGGGAAACAGGAACAATTGTACAACTGTCAAAAAAAAAAAATTTGTACATGGTCACCATGGAAGGTTATCCATCACCCATATGATATACAAATGAATATACTGATTAAAAAGTTGTTTTCACTCATAATCAGTAAAGTTTAGGTCCTGACCACAGATCATACTAGCATTCTTTTTCTTTAGCGATTAGCACAGAGATATGCACACGTGTATTGTAGTTGTGGGCTGACTATTTTCAGGAACCTGGATGCTAGACAATCCCCCTCCAAGGATGCTTACTGACATTACAAAGTTTGGAAATGTACATGGCACAAGGTCTGTGTTAATGGAGAGCAGAGAGTTGAGGGTGGTGGTTGTTTCAAAGTAAACAATAATTCTTCGGAAAAATCTATTCTGGTCGTTCAACTTTTCCTCAAGCAGGCTTGGGCAGGAGGGCCCTATTTGACTGCAAATGGCTGGAACCTGTAAGTATATTTTAATGTCTGCACCATGAAGTGAACTAGTATTTGCCCATGTAAGACATATGGAATCTCACCTGTGTTTGTGGGATTTTTAGACTCTTGGACATTTTCCTTCCCCAGTACAGCATTTGGTGGAGGCTGCATATTCATAGATATTGGCTGCGGAGCAAACCTGCGGGGAGCTGGAGTCTCTAAGGGCGACTTTCCTGAATCACTGGTCTCTACCTCAAAGGGGACGGCAGCTTTAAGGAATGAAAACAAAACCATAATTATAGAGGATACATAAATAGTGTTGTCTACATATTTTCTCTATTCATGTATCATGTTCATTGGTATAAAAAAAAAAAAAAAAAAAAAAAAAAAGAGTAAAACCTTTTCTGCAGACTGTAGGTGGAAAGCAAGTCTGGTACTGCAAAGTGTCAGAAGGTTGGTTTACTGCTGAACTATGACTATAGAGCTAATTGCAGGATCTCAGGTTATATCCAAGTATACAGATCAAGACCTCTGACATCACTTTAACTTCACCTACTTGCTATGTATCCATGGATCAGAACGACTTAGGCCATAGACAGCCAGAAAACTAGCATTACCAGGTGGCAGCCAGCAATAATAGTTACCATATCTGACAAATCCAATCCATCAGTGTAAAACCCTTTCTGCAGACTGCAGGTGGCAAGAGCAAATCTGGTACTGCAAAGTGTCAGAAGGTTGGTTTACTGCTGAACTATGACTATAGACCTAATAACAGGATCTCAGGTTATATCCAAAGTGAGAAATATCTCAAGGAAGGGACATAATCCCCTCTCCTCTGCAACAGAGACAAGGACCTACAGTACCTCAGTCTATGGGAGTAATTAACATGTTCAGAGCTGGTGCTGGGCTTTCTTACCAATGTAGGCATGACTGAAGTATAGAAGCTCACAGTATTACATTTTTATCTATAAAACATGCATTTTTTATATACATAATAAAAAAACTATATACCATAGTATATAAAAATAAAAAATATAAAATAAAAAAACTGATCAAAGACTACTAATGTTTCCCCTTAAAGGAAACCTTTACCAAAAAAGTATTATGGCTTTCATTGCTGACCTTTTTGTGATTGCTAGGTGCTGTATCTGGCTTCAACAGTCTCTGATCCACTAATGCAGAACAAATATGCAACAAGGGTAGTGTGACGACAGAATTCTTTGTTATCTATACTATTTCCACGTTAGAAACTCAAAAAGCATCAAAGCCAGATGGTGAGCAGAACAGTGAGTTGACTAGCATTATCAGAAGGAAAGGTCAGCAGTGGCTGCCCATATATTTATCTCAACAGAAATTTCCTTTGAAACTGAGAGTCTATGACACCTTTACAGAAATTAACATTTAGACTTTGCTAAGCGTTAGCTGAAAATTACAAATGCATGGACCCCTCTGTCTGCAATGCTTTCCGAGTCCCAGAGTGGTACAAGTATACAGCTCAAGAGCTCTTAGTCAGAAAGACGAAGGCCATAGACAGCCAGAAAACTAGCATTACTAGGTGGCAGCCAACAATAATAGTTACCATATCTGACAAATCCAGTCCATCAGGGTTAAACAATAGAAGTATGATATCTGACCTTTAATACTGTTCCAGGGAGGTGCGGTGTTCAGTGGCTGATGGAGGGATTGTGGTTTAGGGACTGCACTGGAAACATGAATACACGCAGAAGCGGGTTCAGGAGGGTTCGCACTGGCCTTGATTGCAGATCTAATAAAGTGGGACTGAAAAGTGAACACAAAATGTAATTAGACTGACAAAAAAAAATAAAAAAAAGTGTATATATATATATATATATATATATATATATATATACACACACACACACACTTTATACACACGCACACACACTTTACACACATACCTGCATATATATACACACACACACATTACTATCAACTGAAGACCAGCAATTATAAAAACAGAACACCAGGTAAACATTAGAAATGACCTTTAGTCAACATCAAAGTGGATTTTCACCCTAAAAAGGGACTGTATGCCCCTGCCTTAACCATCTAACTATGCTATCTAAACAACATTTTTCTTTCTGGGGCTTGGTCTATTTTTTTTTATTATTTTTTTTTCCTGTGGCCCCACCACCTCCATTCACTCTACCACCAGTCTCGCCTAGGTGAGAATGAGGTGTCCTAATCCTCTAGCGTCTTGGGTTATCCCCTTTCACATATCCCAAAAGGGTTCAGAAGGCCATTCACTGAGCGGTGGGTATGGAGTGGGTGTACGTCATTGCAGGCCTGGCTACATGAACCCAGAAGAGGCAGCCGGGCTCTTGGTGACAGAGTCCTCCAAGTTGGTAGTGCAGGCCACAGGCAGTGACACCTGATCAGTGGATCACAGCAGGACGATACTTGATCAGGTGGGCAGGTGAGTATGCTTTTTAATTGAAGCCCAGCATCACAGGTATACAGAGATGGGTGGTGGATAAGAGCAGGGGGAGTAAAATTCCTTCTTAACAACAAATTATTAAAAACATGTTTTAAATTACCTTGATATAATAACTCAAATCAACTTCCCATAATTCTCAGTATGACAGACATAAAAATCTAATGCACTCTGTGATGCTGTCTTCCTAAAGTTAACGTCAGGGCAAAATGAAAAAAAATATGTTGTAAGACTAGTTTTATTAACAAATCCCCATTAAAAACCTGATGCACCACATTAAGTGTGGAAAATACAAAAACGTAATAATATTATCCCAATGGAAACGTATAAACACAGTCATAGAAAAAAAGAACACAGAGCTCAAAATCCTGCAGTGGAAAGTCTGGAATCACATCAACTGACAGCCTGGGAGAGAGGGAATGCAACACTTGTGCCAGGTCAAGACAGCATGACAGGTATTTGGCAAGCAGTTAAAGGATTTAGGCAGGAAGAGGAAGGTTAGCAATTAAGAATGATTGTTTCTGGTAGGCTGAGCAAGCCAAAGAAAACAAGCACTGCCTGAGATCCTGAGCCCATTACACTGCGATAAGAATCACCAAATGGGTATTGACGCACTACAATTACCTTATACAGCAACACTCAGACTTGGCACTAGCTAGAATCAGTTTTATCATACGAGTGTACACATTTGACATGAGAAAATCACAGACACGTGTGTGTCATCTCAAAAGACTATATACACAATAGAGAGTCAATTACGTATTGACAATGTCATGAAGGAAATAGCGTTTATCATCAAACTTGCATCATGGTATCAGCTTATCAGCAGAGTGGTCTCCAATTTCTCCACCCAAAACTGGTTAAATCAGCAAAAGAATCCAATATGCAGCAAAAAAGAATGTCAACCAATGGCCACAGTTAGTAGGAACCCTAAAGTACATCAGGGAGCAAACAAAGTGCATCAGCCTATAGCATTCCAAAACAAAACATTTTAATAATGTCTAGGAAACCGAGGTGCTGCGTACAACTGCCCATGGAAAAGAATGGCTATGCATGGCTGTACACAGGTGTACGCTGTACTCCTTACGTTTAGCACAAATGATGCGCTTTAGGATTAGACTAGTAAATGTGTGAAATTGAGCCTGTTGGCCCCACCTGCTGCCTGGAATTAGGCAGGTCTAAAATATTCATATTTTGTTTATGGAAGTTTGGTTTTAAATTCTAAATAAAATAAAGAAAATGCTTTAAACAATATCCATTTTCTTTCATTAGAAAGCCAACTAGCAACTATAAAGTGTTAGGGAATGTGTCGCTCCACTGACACCAACAGAAGAGGCTCAGAAAATGTAGGCCCCAGCAGTATGTTTTTATAGACTTTGATGTCCTGGTTATAAAGATTCTTCTAGCCCATTGTGAAGTATTGGTCTGTCTACTGGGCAAGTTGCCAATACATTCTGGTCAATGATTTCTGACAGGCTGCTAAAAGACCCCGATTGTGTGCAGAATTCCTAAGGGAAAGGGCTGTGTTAATATGTGTCCCAGTGGAAAGTATGTGGCAACTGCCAATTTATCTGCCATTTCTTATGTAAGACAAGCAAAATCCTTAAGGTGCATACCTGCATCTCCAGCTGCTGCTGCTGGAGTTTCTCCAGATGTTGAAGGCGCTGTTCTGTCAGTTGGCCCAGCTGCCTCTCCAGCTCGGTCACTCTTTCCTGATGATACAATCTTTCTGATGGTTGACTTTGGATCTTGATCTGCTGCTCTGTAAGCTTTTGCAGCTGCCTGTCTGCCTCCTGCAGTTTGTTAAGCAGTTGTGAAACAGAGCTCACCTGGACTTCCAGATCACTCTGAGCCTGCGGAAACAATGATGACAGATGACTTCAACATTCACACCAGTTCTCAGCTAAAACCCCAGATCCAAGTGTGATGGGCTGCTATATCCATATCAGATTTTTATGCTCCATTACTTCTTCTGCCATGTGTTAGTGTACAGCTCTGCTGCTACTATGCTAGTTTGTCCAATGCAACAGGGGAAAAACCTCCTTCCCAATCTGAGGCAATTGGATGTTCCCTGCATCCAATGTACCAATAAATGTTAGTATCCAGTTATATTCTGTGTATCTAGACAAGAATCCAGGTCTTATTTAAAGCAATCTATTGAGCTGGCCAGAACCAATGCCTGAGGGAGTCTTTTCAACATTTTCACAGCTCTTACTGTGAAGAAACCTTTCGGTATTTGAAGATTAAATCTCTTTTCCGCCAGACGTAAAGCGTGTCCCCTTGTCCTCTGTGATGACCTCAGGGTGAATAGCTCTACACCGAGTTCACTATATGAACCACTGATGTATTTATACATGTTGATCATATCCCCCCTTAATCTCCTCTTCTCAAGAGAGAATAAATTCAGTTCCTCTAATCTTTCCTCATAGCTGAGCTCCTCCATGCCTCTTATCAGTTTGGTTGCCCTTCTCTGTACTTTCTCCAGTTCCCTAATGTTCTTTTTGTGAATTGGCGCCCAAAACTGAACTGCATATTCCAGATGAGGTCTTACTAATGATTTGTACCGGGGTAATATGATATCTCTCTCTCTGGAGCCTATACCTCTTTTAATACAAGAGAGGATTTTGCTCGCTTTGGAAACCGCAGCTTGGCATTGCATGCCATTATTAAGCTTTGATTCCCCCAGTTGTACCCCCCCTAGTATGTATGATACATGCATATTCTT